CAACAAGGTTCGACCTTATGGCCAACAATTTTCTTAATTTTATTTTATAGTTCCCAAGGTTTCCTAGACTTGCCATAACACTAATTCAAGTCCTCAATTTAATTTAAAACCATGCAAGCACCAATTTTCCCACATATCCTTCTTTAGGCCAATTTCTACACTTAGGCATCTCCATTGGTTCCACTTCCAATCCATATGCATCAAACCAACATACAGTCCATTTAAACACAATTCACAACTACACAACACCAATTACATGATTTTTACATCATCATTTCCTTACTTCCCTTCAATGGCCGAAATCAACAAGCATGCATACCAAAGGATTTCTAATTCATTTCAACACTTCCACACATCATACAATCTTATAATTAACTCATACAAATACTCCACAACTCAATTACACAATCCCACAACATATCCATTTCACAAAGTCTTGAGTTCCCAACTCAAAATTTTCCTAAGTTTTCAATTTTTTCTCCAATAAATTTTATGAGTTCAATCACTATAAAATATCATTCTAAGACACTTTTATCTAATACACATTTTCAATTTGAGGTCCACAACCACATCAATTTATGATCATATTAAAACTCAATCAAAATCAAGAAAACTCACCACCAATCAAGTCACAAGGCTCAAAGAAATGAGTTTCAAGTGTACAACCAAGCAAAACAAGCTCCAATGCTCTTGAGTTTCTCCAAAAATGCCACCCTCATCACAAAATGATCTCCTCACACACTCACTTTTAGGAGGACTTAATGATATGAAGAATGTTCACAAGAGGGAGGGGAACAACTTTGATGTTCAACAATTTTTGATTTGATGAGTGGAAGTGAGTGAAATCAAGGAAACAAGAAGCTTCCCATTCTTTTCCATGGAGGGCTGCATTTTGGGTGCTGTTTCACGGTGGAGGAGCTGCTGCCATGAGAGAGAAAGTGCGGGGAAAAATGCTTAAGTGACTTGGATTGCAACGTAGGCTCTAATAAGACGAAATACCACTAAAACAACTCATTTAACCCATTAATCACCACTTAATTCATGAATTATCCATTAAATAAAAATTTAACATTCAACAGAGTCCATTAATTACCCTTGATCAGATGAATCCGGAGTTGTCAGGTTGTTCGGTGAAATTACAGTTTTAAGCTATTATGCGCGTTGTGGGCACGCTTCCCCAAAAACCCTAATTATAAGCAATTTTCACCAGAAATCGCATTTCCTAGTCCTATGTACCATTTATAACTTATTTCCAAACGTAGAGCTCAAAATTCATTTGGCACGCTTTACGATGCAACTGTACTGCGATATTTTTTTCCGGTAAAAACATTATTCATCAAATTTCCAGAAACTTGTCTAACCACTCAATTTTTCGTTCTGAATCCATTTTTGGTGTTAATTTTTCCATTTGAGACCTTTTACTCAAATTTCTTTTCCTAGGGTTACGTGTTTGGCAAATGACCATTTTACCCTTTTCATGTATTTTGACTCTGAATTCAGGATTTTCATTAATCCTACTCTTTAATCCATATTTTAAAACATAATTATGTGTTTTAGAATTATGAGGTGTTATAAAATGGAAACAGATTTAATCTACATATCCAATGGTCCTAATATTTTTTAGTTTATAGGTCTTTGTGTTAGCTTCATGTAGGTTCAAAACTCACTCAATTTGGAGTTCTATAGCTCAAATTATGTCTAATTAACTAATGAATGTTCTTGCCTAATGCAGAGCAGGTATTTTTCATGAATTTAGAGTGTTGTAGCACACGTCAGAGCTCTTTAGCGCCCTCAACAACTATTTTCTTCATATTTAACGTGCTTTAGCGCATTCTAGCAAGCTCAACACGAAAAAATGACATTTCTAGGCCATTTAGCCCGCCCTGGGGAACTTTAGCACGCTCTCCAGCATATGAAGAGGCTCATTTCAGGCATTGGACCTCTATTTCAAGTATCAAGCATTCCCAAATGTACCTAATAGACCAATTCAACATTCTAACATAATATTTAACAACAAGATACACATTTCTTGCTCGAATTATATATCATTGCACCAACCATTAATCCATCACCATGTACATTTTATGTAGGAATTGTCCAAAAGTGATACATACCAAAATGTAAATTCATATATCTATCTCTTTCCACCACTCATCATCACCAAAATATATATCTCATTCACAATTAAGATTCAAGAGATACATCTTTTTGGATGCTCAAGTTTACAACACTTGGCATAATAGTCTTCCAAATGACATAAATACATATATGACCAAATCATACTTTCTCAAACTACAAAATACATAAAAATAGGTCCTAACATGCTTCTATGTCAAAAGAAATCAAATTACATAGTATTATGTCATCTATCCACAAGCTGGCCTCTTGCCAAGAGACCTTTCATCTCTGCCAGTCAATGCACCTGAAATATAATTCCTATATGGGGTGAGATACAATCTCAGCAAACTCAAGGTCCTTGGAGACTTCTCCAACCCTTGGGCTCACTTCCATGATATACAGATATTAAAACAGTATTATCTGGCATATTTTACATTAGTCCGTATATTTATATATATTCACATACATAACACTAGAGCTATTCCATCATCCATCTTGCCAACTGACAGGAATGCTCATATGGAACTTCCAAGATAGGTCCCTATGGATACTCCCTCTCTTATGATTTAACCACCAGGAGTTTGTCCATGGAATCTGGCTCAGGGAAAGTCCATATTTATTCTACTGACCAGAGAATCTATCTAATCATACAATCATATATACATAGCATATTATATTCTCATAATTAACCAATAACACCAAGTCTCAACATCAATGCACATCTTGTCATACAAATCATTACTCCTCACAAAGTATGGTGGAACATCAAAGCAAAAAACCTCCAAAGTTTAAGAGTTTACCTTTCTAGGCTTTGACCTCAATCTCCTTTTGGTTCCACCAAAGTCAATATCACAAAATCACCAACACAAATCCAACCTATTCAAATAAGGTGGAAATTAATCAACAATCACGCACAAACAACATATTCCTCAAGCTAGCATACTCCATATCTCAAGTTATCAATTTAGGAGCTTACCTTCAATTCCAATAACACAATACCTAACCCTATTCCTCCATAAGTTGCAATTGTGGATTCAATCTGTAATCACCAAGTGATTTGACACTCTACACATAATAACAAGGGTTTCAAACCTTAAACCCATACTCTTATATACCATTTTCGGAACCACCAAAATTACTTAAGAACCCTAAACATTTATTCATGAAACTCAACAAATCCTTGGAGAACAATGGTCTCTTATCTTATAACCACCAAAAGACTAGACTATGGAGGGTTCACAAGCTTCCAATGAAGTCGAAATGTCTTCCTTTGTTTGCTCTCCAAGGACCCACGGAAATGGTTAAGGGTTTGGGGCAATTTCCTTTCTTTCTCTACTAAGGTTCTCTCTCTAGGAATGATGGAGAAAGTACAAGCTAAAGTGGCTTCCTTTTCTCCTCTCTTGATCAATGGTGAGAAGATAAAGAAAACAACAATGGTGGCTCAAGGAAAAGGGTGTGTCGATGGACGTGGAAGAGAATGGAGAGGAAAGAGTGTGTGTATTTGGTTTATAAAATATCTTGAGTGGGGTTTAATCCTTTTGCTCCTTAGCTCTCTCCCTTTTTATGCCATTCAATCCTAATTATCTTGTTGGGGTCTTTATTGAATTGTAAAATATATGTTGAATTCTTACTAATGCATTATGAATTGCCAAAGTGTTTCGACAAATAACACACAACTTGTTGGAATTTGTGTCATGTTATCTTAATATTTTTGACTAGTTGTAATATGTGTCCATTTCATGTCTTTTACCTTGTCGATATTTATAACCTATACATCTTTAATATCCCATTTTCTGCATGGAGTGCTTAGTGCTAACAAAATCTTTTAATATATTACGAAGTTTGAAGGTAGAGGAAGACATGGGTAATTAGCATGTAGAAGACACCAAGAATGTTTAAAATCGAGTTGTCATTGAGCCTTTATTTATTGTTCTCATGGGCGGGTTTAGCAATCTTTAATTGGGAACTTTAAGTAATTCCAGGATGATATTTTGCTTATATTAATTTTTATATCTGATCCCATTTCATTAATATGGGCCAGAATAGAGAATGTTTTATGATATATACTTGTAAACAAATTAAATAAATAAAAATGCATTATTATGTTATGCAAACAATATTAATTTAAATAAAAAGTCTAATCATTTCTTTATTTAACATCAGTAGTAGATATACATGCTTTACTATTTTAAATACATTTAGAAAAATTACATGTTTTCCCTTCCTGGGAATAAAAAAGATCTTATTCCTGAAAAGACTTCATATGGTTTAATTACATTATAATTGATGCATAATATAGCTCTCTTTTTGTAAATTCTCTTTTAGTTGTTTTATGAATTCATTGTATGTCTTGATTATCTGCTCTTACTATTTTTATTTATTGTCCTTGAGTATTTGCGTTTATAGGAATGCCTCGGAAACCATGATTTAGTATGAGGCCTTTATCTACACCAGACAATATCCCTAGTGTTTCTACAGGGACTAATCTCGATGGTGGAGGAGCACACAGTGCTCCTATCTTTACCCCAGGTCCATCCAATTTAAGCAACAGAATGCAACATTCTATTGGTGAGGATGTTGGGAATTTGCAACCAACAAGTCCTTCTTCAATGCAGGATGCAAGACCATCCCAACCACAAGAACCTGCCAATGAATCCCAACCATCAGCTGCTAAGAAAAAAACCCAACCTACTGGATAGAGAACGTCATAGGTTTGTATCTTACCTCTTAATTTACGATCCTATTAATTTATTAATTAATATGTTTTTTATTTTGATATCTAATTTATCAATTCTCTTCAATACTTAGATGATCAAGGAGTAACATGGGAGCGGCGAGTGCGAGTTCAGGATGTTTATGTGCTTCCTGACAACCATAGAGTTATGCTGGAGTGGAATGAGAGAGACCAACCAACTGGCAACTCCGGTGGTCTGTATGGTTTTTTTTCAGGTGCAATTGTAGCTGAATGTAAAAATTTCCCAATCAATTATAAACAATGGGCCATGGTTCCAGACTATCACAAGAATCTTATTTGGGAGCGAATCCTCAAAGTATTAATCTTATTTTTTAACATCTAAATATTATACTTTGTTGTTTATTTTCTGACTTTTCATGTATTCATTTTTTAGGCTAAATTTGATGTCAGCACCGATGAACATAAAAAATGGATCATGATGGATATTGAAAAAAAATGGAAAGATAACCGAGCAAGGTTGTGGGGCATGTTTAAAAAGAGTGGCATGACCTTTGAACAAGGTGCTGAGCATCGTCCAAAGGGTATTCCAAGAGAACAGTGGGCTTCTTTTTTGCAATACAAAATGGATCGAGAAACAGAGTTAACTTCACATAATTATAAAAATGAAAATGTGTAATGTCATTACTAATATATATATATATATATATATATATATATATATATATATATATTGGCATAATGCAGAAAATATCTGGAAAAAAAACTGCAAATAGGGCTAAATAGTCTATACCACATACTTTAGGGACAAAATCAATTGCAAGAAGGATAACTGAAATGGTACAATTCTAAATTACTATAATTCATGTGTTATATGTCATCGTTCTTCTTGTCATAGCATGACTTTTGCTACTTTTCTTGTTTTCATTTTTAGGAAATTGAATTTGGCCACCCGATATCAAGAGCTGAAATGTATGCTGAATCACACAAAAAGAAGGATGGAACATTTGTTAATGAAGAGGCCAGACAAAAAAATGTAAGTACAATATATTTTTACCCTTGGATTATAATTCATGATGTGTTAGTATGTAATTTAATGAGCAATGCAAATATTTGTGGGAGCTATTGTTAGCCGCTCAAAATGATGGAAGTATGACTCAAGAAGAAGCTTATATTCATGTTTTTGGGAAGGAGCACCCAGGACGTGTACAAGGAATGAGATTTGGTATGTCCTTCCCAAGTTTTTGGTTCTAGGTCCGTTGGTTCCAGCTCAATAGCCACATAAAATGAAATTAAGGAGTTGAAATCTAAAATTCAATCATTGGAGGAAACAGTCGCATACTTGGTCCGAAGCTTTGGAGGTCAAATGTCGTATAATCTTGCACCCAATGGACCTCATCAGGTATTTTACTGGGGTTGTTTTACACAATGCTATTTTTAGTGTACTGTTTTTCATGGTGAGATTTTGAATGGGGTCATCGTGTGCTCTAAGTGTAAAATTTTAGTGCAGAGCCTTATTTATTTCCTTGAGTTTGTTATTGTTCCATTTGAAAATTAAGTAATTGTTTATATGAGAATTTTATTAAATTATTATGGTTGTTGTCTAAATTAATTAAGGTTAAGCCTTTTGAGTTGGTTGACCTTTGCCTTGGCATATGCATGTGTGTCTATTAACACTGACGTTAAATTGAAAGGAACAAAAAAAAGATGTCAGATAAGTTGTGATATGAGGAAAGACTTACAACTTTTATAAGTTAGAATTCAGTTTCTATTCAAGTATAATGACGAGAAAGATTACTTTAGATTGATTGTTTAATCATTTCATTTAAAATTTTGATGGCTGCTTTTACAAAAGGTAATATTGTATAACTTCCTCGGATTAAGATTCTATTAGTGCATTAATTATTTGTTAATGACCTAACACTCATGAGGAGAAATTTTTAGGTAGGCATTCTTTACTTTCAATAATCAAACAGCCAACATGCATTTTAGCATGAACTTTACAACCTTACTATGTTAACTTTGATTTGACTGCATATTTAAGAATTGTTTCATTGGTCCATTAATGTGTGTGTTTGTGTGTTTTTTATGTGGTACTTCAAAGAGTATCTGATGAATATAAAATCTACCTATATTTCCTCCCATCTGAAACACTCGAGTCACGTGTATCTCCCTCAATTTGTAATATGCACCTGTGAAATGCTAACATAGGAACGAATATTCAATAGAAGTTGTCTTCCTTCAACCATGACTCATGCTATTTAAGTGTAGTTAATCAAAATGCATCTTGCAAGTTATCTTTGCTTTTATGGTAATTGTAATCTGTTTCAGTTTAAATGTTGTCTGTGTTTTTCGTTTTACATAAGGTCTCTCTTTGTCATTAAAATGTTTTTATTTATCATTTGTAGACTCCAGATTTAGAATCCCCAAAAGGTATCAGAAGGTCTTCATCAGCCAACTATGACCCATATATTTGCAAACCAGCCACACAAGAACGACAAAATGAAGGATTAACAACTCCTCTTGATGACATTTTCATGGATGACATTTGAATTCTGGATATTTTGAAAAGTTGGGATGGCATTTTGTTGGACTTTTTTGTGATATTTAATTTCTGTTTACATTACAATGCTTTGGGATCTTTACTTTTTGTTTAGATTACAACACTATGGGATTACATTTTGTTGGACATTTTTATTATCTTTACTTTTGGTTTGGATTACAGTATGCTGGGAAGATATTTTGTTAGACTCTACTTTTAGGAGTAGATAATAGTACAAAACACCAGGTTTGGTGTTTTTGAACATTTAAGGTAATTTAGAGTAATGGTTCACTTAGTTGTTCACCTTGTTGATGAAGCTAAGCATAGAGGCCCTGTCCATTATCGGTGGATGTATCCAATAGAGCGGTACTTAGGACAATTAAAGTCCTACGTAAAGAGCAAAGCAAGACCAGAAGGGTCTATAGCAGAAGGTTACTTAGTGCAAGAGATTTTGACCTTCTGTTCAAGGTATCTAGATGATATTGAGACTAGATTTAATCGCCCAAATCGTGTTGATGATGCCCCAAATCAAGAATTGCCAAAAACACGAGTACATGAATTGTTTCCCCAAGTAGGGAAGCCGGTTGGTGGTTCTTCATATTTCAACCTCACACCAATGGAAATGCTGCAAGCACATAGACATGTCCTAATTAATTGTCCGGCAGTTGATCCCTATATGCAGTAAGCAATTATCACACTTCAATCATTGCAATTACTTTGAAGCTATGTATTAATATATTCTTAATCTTGTGTAGAGAATTTCGAAATGAGGTGCAGAGGCAGCTCAGACCCCCGTACACGGAATCCTGCTCATATTGATAAAAAGGTTCATAGAGAGTTTGTTGAATCGTTCTCTAAATGGGTGAGTACCTTTCTCATTATGTCCGTGAATAACGCATATATTAACTAAAGTCTATATTGTGATAACAAATGCTTAAATTTTTTCATATGTAGATTGTTAGAGATATTGACCTACTGAGTGAATCAGATAAAGATATTATGCTTTTTCTTGGTCAAGCTAGAAGGTTCAATGCATATAATGTAAATGGGTGCAAATTTTGAACCTTGACACGAAATCGAGGCTTGAAAACACAAAATAATGGGGTATTTGGTACATTTGGAACTAGAAGTTATTCAAGTAATAGTGATAGTCAAATGAGGTTTGGAGATGTCTTATACTATTGGAAACTGATAGACATCATAGAGATCAACTATAATTGCTTATTCACAGTTATTTTGTTCAAGTGTCAATGGGCTAATACCTCTAATCCTAGAGGCATCAAAAAAGATAATCTAGGATTTACTTCAATTAAATTCACCAGACTAATACATACAGGTGAACATGAAGATGATGAGCCATACATCAAAGCATCTGAAGCTCAAATGGTTTATTTTATGGATGATCAGAAAGAAAAATGTTGGAGCATACCTATTCATTTGAAACCAAGAGATTTGTACGACATGGGTGAAGATGAAGAAGACATTATGCCATCCATTGAGTCATATCCATCCCAAAACTTGGAACAAATTTTGTCTGATGATGCTATGCATATTCAGTTAACAAGACCAAATGTAGATGATGAAAATCCCACTTTGACCGTTAATGAACATGACAATGATTAAACTGTTATTCTGAACAACAAGACCAATGCAACTCAATTGGATAATTTGTATTTTGAAACCAAAATGTAATAAAATTATGCAATTTTGTCTCACATTTGATAAATTGTTGATTCATGCGATTTTTGTTTTTCATGTTTTATTTATGGCTAATTCATGCATAATATTGCTCTCTTTTTGTAAGTTATCAACAAAGTTTTATGAATTCATTATTTGATTCAATTGATTAGTTGTTCTGACTATTTTTACTTATTGTCATTGAGTATTTGGATTTATAGGAATGCCTCGGAAACCATGATTCATTATGAGGCCTCAATCCACACCAGGCAATATCCTTAATTATTTATGCAAGGACTAATACTGAAAGTGGAGCAGCACATAGTTCTTATATTTTGACACTAAGTCCATCCAATATAGGCAATGAATTACAACATTCAGTACATAGATGTGTTTCTGCAACCAACAAGTCCTTCGGTGCAAGCTGCAGGACCATCACAAATTTTTAAACCATGTTTAGGTTCTGTTAGCAGTTCCTAGAATTTTTGGGATTCAGATGCATGTGTATGTAATTTTAATATCTTTATTTTCTCTTGTTTTTTTTTTCAGATTACCCAGGTTAAATTTTAGCACAAGATTAAGAAAGGGATGGCTTTCGCACTAGGACTTCTTGCCATCAAGGTAATTTGATTTTTCTATTATTGCTATTTTGGCATTATTATGTATTTTATACCTTGTATTTTGCATTTTTTTTAATTTTTAATATGTTCCTTAGTGTTTTGTATGTTCTAAAGTATATTTTGATGTTTAATACGATTTTGCAAATTGAGATTAAGATAATATTTTGATACCAATTATTTGTTATATTTTAATGGAAGGTTTATTTTATGTTGAATTTGCTTCTTGTGTGTTAATATGTATATTAATTTGTAATGTTATTAATTTTTTTGTTATTGGAGTATTTTTGTATCATTTAATCCATTGAACACTTTGTATCTGTGATTAGTAATCTTATGCTTTTGTCCCTAATTAGAGGCTTAATGGTCTATTGGTGCGAACAATTGAATAATGAATATCTCATGGAACAGAGAAGAAAATTGCCTTGTGATCCGAGCTCTAAACCCAGACAAGTCTATTGATATGTAAAATAATTGAAGTAATGCTAATAAAGTTGTTTCACCTAATACTGTATATTTTTTTTTCTTTAGTACCGATTTGTTGACCATGGTGTCAACGTGACTCTTCCATGGCTAAAGTCTTATCTTCCACCCATCTTGTAAATACTAAAGAATGTGGAATGATTAGCCCAATTTTGTATTTGTTTGTCGTGGTTAGTGGGCATAAAAAAAGAAGAGTAATTGAATTGGATATACATAGGTGACTGAGTTTAGGTAATAGTACTAGTAATATGATATTCAGAATTTTATATATATATATATATATATATATATATATATATATATATATACGAGTTATATGTGCTAGTTACATGTAGCTGTGGTCGTAGTATTTTTAAAATAATGTTTTAAACAATTACATATGTTTAGGTTATTGTTTTGAGACGTATTCAAATATAACTATAACACATATATATTATATGTATTATTTTATCATATTCTATCTTTTAGTTAAGTTCTGCTTTCCTAGTGTGTTCTACCTATTGGAAAACAATTGGTTTCATATTGAAGTGATAAAAACCACATGCCGTAAATGTTAGCAACAATGTTATCTTTGTGTGTAGATTGATTGATCTAAATCCCAATAATATGAAAATTCTCTCAACAATAATATTCTTATATGTGCTCATTTTGTTGGAAAAATCAAATTTATCTTCCTATTGCAAATTGGAAGATCAGAAAAAAAACAAAAACCAAAAGGGAATTTCGATTTGAAATGATAACATTTTTCTTACTTTATTTTATTTTGTTTGTTCTGCATGAAGTATCTGCTTTGATAACTGTGTACACTAAACGGTGATACCAAAAGTTGTCTCATATTATTTGTTTATTTAGAAAACTGGTTTTGGTCAATAATTAACTCAATTAATGGCGAAGGGGTAAATATAAGTTAATTAAAATATGGGACAAAATGATTTTAAAATGGGACATTTTATAATCATTACTTTTGTACTTTTCCACGATTGTCTTTCAATTTAAAACAAAGAATTTAAAGTAATAGTCATAATCATGAGATATAGTAACACACGGATCTACATCAACTTTATGATATTCTAAATGACTTTGTTTATAGCATCAATAATATAATTTGTTTATTGAATAATAAAATAATAAATATTACAATATTAACATACATTAATTTTGTATTTTTGTTTTTGTAAGTAGATTACTGTATTTTGTATTCTGGTGCAAATATGTATAAAATAATTGAAAACCATAAATTTTTCCTTTTACCCTTTTACTTTTGAGATTATATGGTAATTGTAATATATTATTGTGTCGTTGCTCCCTTTAATTCAAATTAATTTGATAGGACTTGTATAACATGGCTTAACTAATGATATTAGCCCTGCAAATGTGATTACAATCTATGATTGTATTCTTCCACTAGCATTTTAGCTTCCTTCTCAGTGAGGGTATATCGAAATACTTAATAAAATTTAAGGATTCTCTATGCTTATTATTAGTGAATTATTAAAATTTAATGAAATTTACATTATTTTTGATTGATTAAAATTTATAAGTTTCTGATTGCATGGTTGAAGTTTGGGAAGCATTTGTCTCTAGTCATGTGTGTTACAAGGCTAGTCATACTATATATTGTTTTGTTCAATTTATATTGTTTGTAAATGAGCTGAGTAGCTTGGTTGATTTCCATTTGCAGGCCAAAGCATTAGGAACTTGGTTAAAGATGACTTCATTATCAGGAAGCTAACTAAGATTCATTCTCGTTCCCGCGCTCGACGAATGAAAGAGGCCAAAAGGAAATGACCCCACTCTATTTACGGTATTGAACTATTTTTAATCTAAAGTTGGTTCGTGTCGAATGAATTGGTGCTCTTTACATATTGGCATGTAGTCCCTGTTAGTTTGTGAGTGGTGCTAATCTCAATCTACTTGTTCAATGTTTTCATCATTTAGACATTGTATAATTGATAGGATTCTGCTGAGTTGCATTTTAATTGGAAAGACCAACATAATAGTCGTGAAAATTAGTTTAAGGAGCTCGAGTTATTATGAATACTAAATATATTTGAAATATTTCTATATAGCTTGACATGAATTGCTATATGGTCCTAGCTGAAATGCATTATTTGGTAATTATAACTTTGCCTAAATAAACAGGTAAGAGGAAGGGAACAAGAGAGGCAAGGCTTCCCACCAAAATCCTTTAGATGAGGAGGATGTGTGTCCTTAGATGTTTGCTTCGCAAGTG